TTTCTGGTGCTTTACGTCACTTCCAGAGTTGTAAGCACCGTGTAACTACCTCGAGGGTGCTTGACCAATTTAACACAACGTGGTGCGATCATCCCCCTTGCGCGGAGTGAGGGATCTCCACCCCGCACAACATGATCTACTTGACCACCATTATGGTTACCGCCAAAAATACAACAGACGTAAAAAAAAACGGTAACCTGGTTGCCGAGCTCACGAGGTGAATCGGCTTGTTTTACAGCGTCGTTGCCAAGCGACGAAAACCCAATCCCGATGGCAAACACCGAGGGGGGGGGGGGGATCGATTAATTCTATCCTCAGCTCCATCTCTCGCCTTACATGGAGACGATCTTTACGATTACCGTTGGCAGTCTTCTTTAGCCCAGCAAACAAGACGGTGGTGGATCAATCCTCAACTTATCTCTCGCCTAACATGGAGATTACCTTTACGTTTACCTTCATCAATACAAGTCTTCTTGCATACGTGTACCAAACAAGAGAAATTCGGAAAACGGTGGGGGGGGGGGTCAACGTGGAGCTGACCATTAAGCTTACCGTTTGTCCGATTGATGCCCCTCATTTCAATATTTGAGTACTGAACCAATCTCGCGCCTCTTCAGGATCGAGTTAACCCCCCTACTGGTACACAGTCAATGCCCGGGCCCCCCTCAAAAAGAGTTATTGCCAACCACCTTGCGCTATCGTCTCCCTTCTCTACACCTCTCCTTCGACCTACCAGTTCCCGAAGGGATGATGTTGAACCCGGCTCCCCTTCCTGTTGACGGCCACATTAAAGAAGAAACAAAAAACGCGGCGGAGGGGTGGACGTAAGGTGCAAACATGTGAACGGAGTTTTACGTCCTATCTAGTATGGGCGGCAGTCTACACTTCAGCACTCGTTACATGTTTGACGCGATCAGCCCGGGTCACATAGGGGGAGGTAAACAAGATCGATATCTATATGTTCTCTCAGCTTCATCCGCGACTACGCGCCGTTCGATCCCAGGTTGCGAGCGTTCGTCACTCCGCAGCGATTCCAAACCACAAGCTATTAATAAGGCCACCATATTTTCATATACACGAGGTCCTAAACTATCCCACTGCCGTTGTGTGATAAGCGCGTGGACGAATAATACTGCTCGTGCCCACACTCTAAAACATCTTATTTTGGTGGAGTGGCGTGATCAAGAATGTGAACGAACAATACAGTGCCCGCATTCAAAAACGTTATATTGGCCGAGGGTCGTTTCTTATTTTCCCATGGGGTACAGTAGAGGTCCCTGTTTAGTGCCGGTTGCCGTTATAGTTCCGGTTACGGTGGCTCGCGCACACTGGAATACCAAGTCGTTCTGAACTTCGAATTGTGCCGGTGGATTTTCGGCGCACACCCCGGCACTAAATAGGGACCTCTACTGTACTGCTGTACCCCAACGGCGACTATCTAGCTGTTAGTGTACCGTACGTGACAAGTTAATACACCCCCTAGACCTATTTTCAAAGCTCGATTACTCCACGAGGAAGATGATGCACAAACGAACGAAACATTTTCGGAAAGCTCTCGACCAGACGGCTTCAACGCCGGCGCTGTCGGCAACGCCGATCTTTCTGCTAATAGTGAGAAATCGAGCTTCGAAAATCGGTCCAGGGGGTGTGTTATCTTGTGTAGTACGTACACGGCAGGCTTCTTGACTGAACACCTGTTCTTACGGCCGGGCTCTTCAAATAATCTTGTTTGAGCGCGAATTTCTTGACTCCTACGGTACAGTAGGTTCTTGAGTGCGGGCGCCAACTTTAGCTGTAGACTGACTCACCGCCCCTCCAGTCCTTCTTGGACGGTCCGTCTACTGTCTTCTGGGTGGCCGTTACGGCGTGCACGGTGGTCATGAGACCCTCCTTAAGCCCGAACGTGTCGTTGATGACCTTTGTTCGCATGCATCAAGTCACAACAAACGAGGCATCGGCAAAACACCAGCAGGAACACGTGTCACTCGTTTTCGAGCGGGGACCATGAACGAAGCACGATATTTTCAGTCTATCATGGCGATCCAGGATACTACGTACCGAGAGCCAAACAAACCCAGAAGCATGAAACATGTAAATCTGCCGTGGAGTTCCAAGCAGCCACACAAACACAGAGATTGTATGCTTTCCAGTAAAGCAAGCCCAGAAATAAGAACACGAAGAGGGTGGAGTGAAGGGCACCACACAAACTACAGCAGTTTCATGTTGTCGGCGACAGCATGCAACGCGCCGAAAGAACAGAAACAAGAAAGACAAACAGAAGGAGGCGTAACCAATAACAGCGGCGTCACGCCGTCGGCCAAAATACAGTACCTTGGCCATGGGGGCAAGGCAGTTGGTGGTGCACGAGGCGTTGGACACGACGTCCATGTCCGGGGTGTACTTGTCGTGGTTGACGCCCATCACGAACATTGGCGCGTCTCCAGAGGGGGCGCTGATCACCACCTTGGACACAAGGAACAACGAACAATGAATCAAGCATTGAACATCGATGAGTACGTGAAAAATCCCCAAAAACAAAAAAAAACAAGACGCGGAGATCGGTGTGCTGTCAATAAGAGAACAACGGTAGGGACAGAACGTTGTTGTTTTCGACGAACACGCGAAGCGAGGGATTACAAAAATACAGCGACGAGATACAGTCAGGAGCAGGAGACAGTAGCAACAAGAAAACAAGCACATCACGGGGGAGCAAGCTGTATGTTGAAGATGTACAACGAGTATCGTCATCCGGAGGGAGCCTTCACGTCGAAGGTTTCGTAACCCCCCCGACCGTGGATCCAGATAGGTCAGCATGCGATATTGTCAACAGAAGAGTTCCGTCGTAACGCCGAGGGGGGAGAGGGCGGGTACAACACTGCTTACAGCAGGCGCTGCAAGCTATCCCCCCCTCCTCACAAACCTCGAGACGCCAAACAACTAGTAGCGCACAAGAATCGAAACGGGGAAGAAACGTGCAGGCCGAAGGTTAGCGCCGAACTAAAAAAAACACACTCGACCTTTCGCACATTTCGTCGGCAAACACTTGGAGAGATACAAAGGCGTGGCTCTAGATTACCTACCTTCTTGGCGCCGCCCTTCAGGTGAACGCCGGCACCCTCCTTCGAGGTGAAGATGCCGGTGCTCTCGACGACCACGTCCGCACCTACGTCGCCAAACTTGATTTTGGATGCGTCCATCTCGCCGAACACCTGCAAATGGAAAGAACGAAGGAAGGCACAAGGAAACTTGATGTTAACGCGATACCAGGCTACCACTTTCATCGCCCAACGCGTTCATCAGCTAAGGAAAACTTTGACCAATTCGGAACTGGCAAGCTTACACGGCGAAAAAAAAAAAAACTCCTCGGGTGCGCATCTGAACATCCTTGCATTACACCCTGCTGTATACTTCCTTGTACATGTCGAGATCAGCGAACCATGCTTCCCTAACCAATAGCGGTCCCGCGCGGGGAAGGACCAATGGAAATTTCTTGGAATTTTTGTTTCTGGTCGGATCCTTCCAGCCTCGACAAGACAGCAGCTAGGGAAGGAAAAGCACGGAAATTTCTTGGAAATTTCTTTTCCGGTCGATCCCTGCCCGTGTCGACAAGAGAACAGCCAGCGCCCGTCTATAATAGTCATACGAAACCGTAAGAACCACAGACAACAGACAAACCTCTTCCTTCGGGGCGGCAACCCACCCACCTTGATCTTCTTGCCGTCGACGATGAGGTTGCTGTCGTCGTTCTCTACAGTCCCGTCGTAGATGCCGTGCACGGTGTCGTACTTGAACACTGTTTGTTGCCGAAAAAAAGAGTACAGGTTGGTCATCATGCAGCGCCATCAACTCATTGCTAACCTATCCCGGACTCTTTATATCTGTGGACGACATGAATTCTGTTTCTTTTGTCGCGATCGCATAAAAAGAAGCTCGGGTTGGTCATCATACAACGCCATGAATCCATTGGTAAGCTGTCCCGGACTCTTGCCTACGGAAGAGATGATTTTGTTGTGAATCCGTAATAACAAACAATGCTAATAATACCATCGAGAGTTTGTTGGGAATAATGCGGCGAGTTGGGGTTGGTTGGATTTGACGACGATCGGTTCCAGTCTCGAGCAGTTGCACATTATGCAGGTATTGGACAGCAGTAAGGCCTCGCATCACCATCGAGAGCGTGTCAGGAATGCGGCCAACGGGTGTTGGAATGGATGCTCGTGTTGAGTACACCATCCAGAGTGGGAAGGGGGCGAACGCGGCCAGCGGGGGTTGCGAGTGTATGAGCAGCTTCAGTTGTTCAGTTATGGAAGGCGGCAAGGCTACACCCTCTAGGCGGATAGGTCGGTGCCACAATTGGAACTCTGCTGCTGCTGTGGCGCTGACTGCACGAGAAAATGTCAGCACGAGGTGTACATTGACGTGCGATAGACCATCGTACCCCCTGGGGGCAGTTGGCTTGTGACCACGGAAGGCGTCCGCGTCAGTTGGACCAGTACGGACATTGAAAGGTACTGAGCGGAAACCGGAACGGTTCATAATGTGAAGACATCAACAACAACAACAGTTTTGTCCTCAGGAAGTGCAGTCCGCTGCCAGAAATGCCAAGCACCACCATCTCGGCGGGTACGCGCAACAGACGTAAACAGACGTAAACGTAGTGAAGATGGGTTTTTCTTGGCCGGAGCTTCTGACACTTTACAGAAGTAGTAGCAGAGAAATCTAGCCACCAAGAGGTCACATGCTCTCATACTATGCTTCTCCCCCGGGATCAAGCTAAAAGCCAGAGGAGTCACTACCATTTCGTTCCTTGTCGCTACGGCGACCTAGACTATTCTTGGGCATAGTCTATATATTAGGCGTTCCTTCTTCAACGTGCGTACTATTTGCGCAGTGAAAAATGATGTTTTAACCTATTACATGCATTTTGAAGTATAACTAATCTGCTGTGTTTGTCCGCTGCTGTTACAGCGGCACCAATCTGCCACGCAGAGCTCGCAACAATGCGTGCCTTCGTCCTCTGACTCCTATCCTTTACAGCAGCAGCACAGTACAATGTATGCAGTGTGCCGTGACCAGCTAACAGTAGTAACAAAAAAATAGTTCAGCAAAGACAAGCCCTGTCTGCATACTGCACGTCGAGATCTTGAGGCAGATATGCTGCATGGAAACTACAGCAGCACTATTCCAGTATTCTACCACCAAGTATCGTAGGTCGTAATCACCGCGGTCATTGACCAGCTAACAGTAGTAACAAAAAAATAGTTCAGCAAAGACAAGCCCTGTCTGCATACTGCACGTCGAGATCTTGAGGCAGATATGCTGCATGGAAACTACAGCAGCACTATTCCAGTATTCTACCACCAAGTATCGTAGGTCGTAATCACCGCGGTCATTGACCAGCTAACAGTAGTAACAAAAAAATAGTTCAGCAAAGACAAGCCCTGTCTGCATACTGCACGTCGAGATCTTGAGGCAGATATGCTGCATGGAAACTACAGCAGCACTGTTCCAGTATTCTACCACCAAGTATCGTAGGTCGTAATCACCGCGGTCATTGACCAGCTAACAGTAGTAACAAAAAAATAGTTCAGCAAAGACAAGCCCTGTCTGCATACTGCACGTCGAGATCTTGAGGCAGATATGCTGCATGGAAACTACAGCAGCACTGTTCCAGTATTCTACCACCAAGTATCGTAGGTCGTAATCACCGCGGTCATTGACCAGCTAACAGTAGTAACAAAAAAATAGTTCAGCAAAGACAAGCCCTGTCTGCATACTGCACGTCGAGATCTTGAGGCAGATATGCTGCATGGAAACTACAGCAGCACTGTTCCAGTATTCTACCACCAAGTATCGTAGGTCGTAATCACCGCGGTCATTGACCAGCTAACAGTAGTAACAAAAAAATAGTTCAGCAAAGACAAGCCCTGTCTGCATACTGCACGTCGAGATCTTGAGGCAGATATGCTGCATGGAAACTACAGCAGCACTGTTCCAGTATTCTACCACCAAGTATCGTAGGTCGTAATCACCGCGGTCATTGACCAGCTAACAGTAGTAACAAAAAAATAGTTCAGCAAAGACAAGCCCTGTCTGCATACTGCACGTCGAGATCTTGAGGCAGATATGCTGCATGGAAACTACAGCAGCACTATTCCAGTATTCTACCACCAAGTATCGTAGGTCGTAATCACCGCGGTCATTTCACCAGCAGATGCGTACCTAATTGGTCAGCAGCAGCAGCAGCAGCTCAAGAGCAGTAGCAACAGCGTAAGGACCCTAACTATTTTTTGACGCAACGCGTTGCTTGGACCCATGGCTTTTGCATTCGTTGCTGCGAAGCAAGAGCAAACCACCCATTGTTTTATGCATACGAAATGATCGGCAGGAGAGTACCACAAGGGGGGATCCGTGCCGTCATATGACGCACACCACAGCAACACTGCTGTACCTGCGCCATATGGCATCTGAGCAGAATCTTCCGCCTACATTCAACGAAAATACGCTCAAAACATGATTGCTGCTGTTCAACTGCTGCTGCCAGTTTGGAACCGCACTCACTGTAGTTCATGTATTCCGTGGGCACGAAGGGGTCGTTCACCGCGACGATGTTGATATTCTTGTTGTTCTTGGCGGCTCGCATCACCAGCCTTTCCTTTCCCAGAGCATATAGGTTGCACGAATCCGCACACGTATATGCATACGATCGTCGAACGACGAGCAACGGAGTGGAAAAAACGATTACGTTAGCATACGCACGCATCACCCGGGGAATCGGTAGATGCCAGACACCGCGCTGCCGTGACCCGGTCCCAACACATGCGATGTACTGCACTTGCGGAGACTAAGCTTGCTTCCGTGCATGTAAGTGCTTTAGGTGCACGAATCACACAACGCGCGATCACACCCCCCCGGTAGCTCTCGAACAAAGAGGCGACCTCACCAGTCGGTTCATTTCCACCCAATTTGTATGAGGTCTCCTCTCCCTCCAACACAAATCAGCTGGAACCACGATACGCACCTCCCGATGCGACCGAAACCGTTGATTGCTACATTGACCGGCATGTTGCTGCTGCTTGAGTAGCGCGTGGAAGAGGTGGTCTCGTGTGTGGAGATTAGGTCGCGGGGGTGTGGGTGAGGTACTCCGCTCAACACTAACAAGCTCTGGGGGGCACTGCCGAGTAGTGCTAACGGGTACCTACCATTACCATTTGAAGGAACTCGGGGCAACTAACACCAAAAGTAGTGCACTGCACAGAGCCATCGCATTGACGAAGTTTAGGCAGGGTGCGTGGAGCAGAGGCAGAGGTTTTGCGCCCGAGAGAGAGCTGAATTATTCTTCGTCCGCGCGTTCTGGGGAAGCCATGGCGAGGTACAGCAGTGCGTCTCTCCAGTGGGCGTTGCTCTTCGTCGCGTGCCTCATGAATCCAAGCCGCAGCTTCGTCGTCCAGCAGCCCGCTCTAATGCGCAGCAGCAGCGGCACCGCCGGGCGCAGCAGCAGCAGCAGCGGCGGCGGCCTTGTAGCAGCGTGGGGAACGCTATCGAGCTCGGCCGCGCACAGAACGGGACGTACGCAGCGATATTGCGGGGCTGGGATGAAGGCCTCCGCAGGAGCAGCAGCAGGGGAAGCTGCAGAAGGTGAGGGGACGGCCAAGCCGCTTTCCAGCCAGACACACCCTCGGAAGGATCGCACATACAGTACCGATCACGGCTGGCTCCGTCTACATAGTGTGCACTTTGAAGAAGCGCGTGTGCAACTCGAAGGATGCTCGCGAGGATAGACGGCCTGACGAAAACGTTGCTGCCTCTTCTGCTGTTTCGGTTGGAGTTGCCGATATTCCCCTCGAATTTCGAATTATTATCGGGCTGCTAGCTACATAGTAGACTAGTACTGCTCCTGTAACGCACCTCCTAATGTTGTTGCGATGCGAACTGGCACTGCTGTATTCGTGTACTGCACTTGCAGCCAGCGTTGGGCGGTATCTCGAACTGACGCCGCCTATGCAAATGCGTTCGGTGTATGCCAGTCTCTGTTGTCTGAGACACATTGACGCATCGGGAAAGTGTCTTGCTCCTGTTCTTTCTCGCGTTCATTTGGGATGGCGCAGCGGTTACATACATATGCATACGTGTGTTTTGTGTGCAGACGGCAGCGAGTAGACTTCATGTGCATACCATGAAGCACAGCAGTCGCGTGCATGTCTAGTCCGCTGCTTTCATCACTACATGCAGTGTCAACATAGAGACGATTAGGCGAAAGACACAGCCAGAATCACACAAGGAGGTTGAGATGGGAAGGCATAAATAGACAAGGGTTGTAGATATCGTGTCTTCAAAGATGCGGCGAGCTGTACCAGATGGTTGAACATCAACATATGGTCCATGCGTCGATCTCACACTCTCGCACCTCCGAAGCAACAAACAGCAGTGCCTCTATGGGTAGCTTCAGTCACCTCTGCCGAGCATCCATGTGTCAACTGCCGCACTTATGTACGACCCCATGTCTCCACTACTGTGCTGACTCGCAGCACGTACTCACGTACAATCGATTGAGATCCACACTTCATTTCGAATGTTTGCTTCGCGAAGTCAACTGGCACATGCCAAAGTAGCAGCAGCAGCAGCAGCAGCAGCAGCAACAGTGCCTGTGTGGGTATTTCTGGGTATCTGGCGATATTGTCCTGCATGGCGACCGCTTTGCTACTGCTGTGCTCTCGCGTGCAACCGGTCGCGGTGTTATTTTTTCCGTCGCTCCTCCGCTGTTTGCCGTTATGTCAACATTATTTTCTTTTTGCACACGTTAGACAACACCAGGTAGACGAGCAGTGTCCCATTCAACAATGAAGCACGGTTTGTCGCTCTTTTGTTGCGGCATTGGAACACGAGGGAGATATATTATCGTTACAGTAGAGGTCCTTTCGATATCCATTCTCATCATTGGCAGTACATTTTCGAAGGGCTCCAACATCAATGTCAAATGACATCGACTACGGAGGTTTCCATCAATGCCCACTGCTGTCATGTGCAGATGACATGCATCCGCTGTGCCTCGTTCGTTTGTTCTGTCTGTCACTTTTAATGTAACAGACCCTCGCTCCGACAGAACAAGAATTTCCGTCGAGGTGGGTTCGATGTATGCATAGCGATGTTGGAGAAGAGGCGTAGGGAGAGGGCTGCGGGCAAGGTATTCATGTCCTGCATTGTTGTTTTCGCACATCTGCTAGCGCCAGTCTGTTTGTTCACATAAAGGTAAGTACTTCCCGTTGACGTATGTATCAGTGGAGATAACAATAGGCGGGGAAACAACGCGCTCTCTTGTCCCGATTTCTCCCAAGGCATGAGAATATAAATAATAGTTTAAAATGAGTTATGCTCTACTCACAAAACGCTGGGCGGCGCGATACAGACTGCCTCGCCACTTTTTTTGGAGAAACTCGTGGAGGACTTGAGGTTTCGTTGTTTTTGTCCCTACCGCATGCAAGCGTCAAGAGACGAGGCAACGGCATCAACGGTGGCATGGTAGCGTTCCCTCAGTTTCCAGACCCAGGCGTCTCCAAAAGCAGAGGAGCTGGTTGATGATTTTGCTCTAGGAGGCACTACGACGAGCCCGTTCATATCCTGCCTTCAAAACCCGACGTTTTCCCCCCGCAACACATGTTCCATACCACATATCGAACCATTCGGATACGGATACAGTCCCGCATACCACTGTATTTCCGAACAGGAGTAGAATAGAACCGCTGTGAGTAAGGACGCATGTGATTCTCAATTGTAGCACATGGATTTTGTCGCTCAACAGCCCCCCCCGTTCTCGTTGGTGCGTGTTTCACAGGCGCGAGATGACGCCCACCGTGGGGTGGGCGCAACTACCGCGATCGCCTCTGCTGCTTATTCTTCTAACTCTAGAAATCACAACGGCACGGGTGGGAGCGAAGGAGGTGTTGCGTTCCTCAACGGGAACAAGGATGACCACGCGAGCGACGATGGCGGCGGGAATAACGGAGGGGGGATCGTGGGGGGAGGAGGGGGAGGTGGAG